GTCATCCTTGTTGCTGCGTATCATATTACCGATGCAGAATGGGTTTGTGTCGGGCCAAGTGTTGTAGGACAATGTTCTTTTGGCTCAAGAGTTGGATCGTGATTTAAGGAGAGGTTCCCGGGGTTGGAATGTCGTGCTAAAGCTTGATATGACTAAGGCATATGACAGGATGTCTTGGACATTCATCCTCCAAATGTTGCGGGCTTTTGGGTTCTCTAAGGACTATATTTCTTTGGTTCAATGAGCTATCTGGGGGCCGTGGTTTTCTGTGATGGTGAATGGGGTCAGTTAGGGCTTTTTCAAGTCATAGGGGGGTCTGCAGTAGGATGACCCCCTTTCTCCTTGTTTGTTTCATCATTGCTGCAAAGTATCTCTCTTGAGGTTTGGACTCTTTGTATGCTAGGTTTCCGGGGGTGACTTATAGTACTGGAGTTGAAGTTTCGGTTTCACATTTGACTTTTGCTGATGACATTATTATTTTTGTTAATGGGTGCTGATCAAGCTTGCAGCAAGTTATAGGTTTCCTTTATCAGTATGAGGCTGCCTCTGGTTAGTTAATTAGACATTCCAAGAGTAGTTTCTATATCAATTCGCGTGCCTCGCATTCTGGAAAGATGATTGCACGACAGACCACTGATTTTCAGAGGTGTGACCTTTCATTTATTTATCTGGGGTGCCCTATCTACTTAGGTTATCTCTGGATCTTGTACTTTGATGAGATGATTTGAAAGGTGCGCGAGCGAATTTTTGGATGGGCGAATTGCTTGCTTTCCTTTGGAGGTAAGCTCACTTTGATTCGTCATGTGCTCGCGTTGATGCCTATTCACTTGTTTCATGTATTGAGGCCTCCAACGGATGTTTTTCACAGTTAGAGAGGATGTTCACTCGATTCTTGTAGGGTGACATAGCTACTCATGGGAGGATTCACTGGTGTCACTAGGCTTAGGGGTGCATTGTTTTTTTTTTGACTTAGCCGAGGCTTGTGAAGTGAAGCTTTTGTGGAGTTTTCGTGTTCAACAGTCACTTTGGTCCACTTTTATGAGAGCCAAGTACTGTAGGTCCACCCATCCTGGGCTGAGTGAGTTTCGTTACCTGACTCCATCTCTTTGGAGGCGATTGTGTGGGATTCGATCGGTGGCTGAGCCGAAGATCAAATAGTTAGTACGGTCCGGTGAGGTCAATTTCTGGTATAATTGTTGGTTGGGGGATTATCCGTTGGCTTTAGTGTGTTCGGGGCAGCTTTTGAAGTTCTTGTTTCTGCTTACTAGGCGGGTTGACAGTGAGACAGAGGCTGATTGTTGGGGGTTTTGCCTTCTTCAGTTGTTGAGCAGATTGTGCAGATTCTGATTCTGGATTAGGTGGAGTTTGTCTTTGGATGAGGATTTTTCCTTGAGGACTGTTTGGGCTGATATTCGGGGTGTGGCTCCAGTTCGGGCTGGGTTTTCTTGTGTCTGGTAAAGGCATATTCTGACTCATGTCTCCTTCTTTATGTGACAGTTGTTTCATGGTTTCCTAGCCACAAATAATGGCTTAGAGAGACGGGGTTTTCATGTAGTATTCCGATGTGTGTGTGTGTGGGGCTGTTGAGACTCTTAGGCATCTTTTTTAAGATGTCCACTTGCAGTTTAGATGTGGGGTCGCTTTTATCGGATGTTTGGGATCATATCTTAGCCATTTCAGTCTCCTTATGCTTTAATGCTTTGTTGGTGACGTTGTGCTCCTTCTGTAAGTCACGTGCGGGTTCTGTTATCGTACTTTATTTTGTGGCACCTATGGAAGACGTGTAATGCTTATAGGTTCGATGGTCGGGCTTTCAAGTGCCCGTTGTGGTTTAGAGGGTTATGACTGATATGTAGTTGTTTGGGCTTGCTTTTGAGTTTGCTCCGAGTCAGTTGCATTGGGATGAATCGGTTAAGTTTGTGGGTTCTCTTAGGATCTTGGTTCCTCGGCCTCTTCGCTTGGTTGCTTGGACACGTCTTGTACCAGGTTGCTTGAAGATCAATGTTGACGGCTGCTCTAAAGGCAATCCAGGGTTGTCTGCGACAGGGGTGTTATTCGAGGCCACCAAGGTCAAGTTCTCAGGACTTTTGGCTTGTTTCTGGGGCATCAACCTATTTTGTATGCGGAGATGTAGGCTGTTTGTGCGGGTTGGAGTTGGCAGCAGATTTGGGAGGTTCTGAGTTGGTAGTGGAGTCAGATTCAGCTACAGTGATTTCTTGGGTTTATTCTCAGGGTACTGGGTGCAGGGTTTATGCTTATCTACTTGCTCGGATTCGGCTTCTATGTGTTTCTCTTTCGGCTCGTGTCTGGCATGTCATGTGGGAGGTGAATCAGGCTGCCGACTCCATGGCTAATTGGGCTTGCTCTCAACAGCTCAATCAGCGATTTCCTGATTTGTCATCCCTTTCTTCTGGAATTACTGGCATCCTCGCTTTGGATACCCGACAGACTCCTCACGTTCGTCGGTGAGTTTTTTATTTTCTTGTTCTTTGGGGAGTCCCCACTTTGTTTTTATGTTTTTGGTGGTGAGTCACCACATTTCTTTTGATTTGATCCTCCCATTTTATACTTCTGGAGGCTTAGTTCTATGCCCTCGTCCCTTTGTCTTTTTAGTCATATATACATATAAGGGTCCTACTAAACCCCCCGGCCACACTAGCTGGCTTTGAAAAGAAAAAAGCAAAAGAACTCGAGGGCTTACACAAGCAAGGCAGCACATGCCAGTACAAGAAAAATAGCATTTGCCGGCGTTTGATTTCCGGCATTTATTTAAAACGCCGACACATGCATCTCAGCTTCACGGTCTCACACGCTTTACATTAAATGGCTTCAGAAGGATTTTCAAAATAAATAATAAAACATCGTCGTTTTAATGTCCATCATTTACAATGACATTTAATAGCCTCATCTTAATATTTACTCTATCCTAACCTAGCCGACACCCTCTCTCTCACTGAATTTTCTTCTCATCGTCTACCTACCCAATTGCCCCTCTCTCCTCTCTCTCTCTCTCTCAATTTCTTAAGCTCTACTGTAGTTAAGAGAACAGAGTTGAAGTAATTTTTTAGAGCCTTTTTTTTTGGGTTTTAATTCATTTGAACAATGGCTTGAATGAATCATGTATTTTGAATACTGACTTACGATTCCAATGTGAATGCAAAAATTTTGAGTGAGGCCTAAATAAAGAATCATTCCCATATACACGTATTTATCTATATAGATTCTAACCATTCAAAGAGAATTAGAGGGTACTCTACATTGATATAGAGTATATCAATGTAGCATATATACACTAAAATGTATCTAAAAAGCGTTTGTAAATATTCTAATTAAACAAAGGTTTGTTTTTTAGCTAATAAAATTGGTTTTTTCTTCCTGTTCCAAGAAAACGTTAAAACAATACATAATTATTCAAGGGTTTGTTTTTTTGTTTGCAGATACATTATTCTCCGAAAATGACAAAAAAATATTAGAGATAACCGTTACATCAGTCACCAGTGTCACATGAAGTAACTGTCCACTAATAAGTAATAAACAAATTAAACAAAAAGGAAAGAAATATAAAATCAAAAAGAGAGAAAGTAAAGAAAAATAAGACAAATATATTTTAAAAAAGAGTTATGACATGGTGTTTAATTATTTTAGGGCTCCACCAAAAAAACAAATCTTCAAAATTTGATGAATAATACTGTCTAGACCTGCAAATATAACCTAATTTTTTGATCGAATTAAATAAAATTTTTAGATTTAAACATATTTCTCAAAAACTCAAGATGAATACATGCATGTCAAAATCATCGATGTCAACAAAAAGCCTTGCTTTTGGGAATTCTCTCAAGAAGAGAAAGATAAGGATTCCCAGTATAAAGGGGGAGCAATTGCCGAAAAGAAAGTCCACCTTTAAGTTGTTCCTTTCCCAACCTCGTGGACCATTGGATCCCCTACCTAGCGTGTGCAGAGAATAATAGTAAGTATTGGAAAATGACTGAAAATGGCACAAAACAAAGGAACTTTTTTGCAGTGACCTAATAAGTTCAAGTTAACGAGTAGGAGTGGTTCGGTTATTGAACTTGTCTTTTGTTAATTTTGAAGTTTCAAGTTCAATTTCTTTTTATAATTTTTAAAGGTTAACTACCCTTATCAATTTGGGAAAATGCTCTAGAGATCAACTCAACTTACGATGGCTAGCCGCTGAACTCGAGGAAATTGCCGACGCGAGCCTAAACACTTTTTAACAAATACTACAACAAAAATCATTTTTTACGACGAATTTTTGCGTCGCTAAATTAAAAAAAATTGTCGTCAATTATTTTTTGCATTTTTTTTTTCGTCATGTGTTCGTCGCAATAACTTCTTCGCAGAAAGTATTTTGCGACACAAATTTATTTTCAATTGCAAAAAGAAATTTTTTGCGACGAAAAAAAAAAGTCGTGAAAAGTTCAAAAAAATGTCGCTAAAATCTGTTCCACCAACGTAAAAAAAAATAAAAAAGTATATTTAATTAATTTTTCGCGACATAAAAAAATCGGTGTGAATAATTATTTACATAAATAAAAATGTAAAAAATAATAATTTAATTCATTTTTTGCAACGTAAAAAAATCGTCGCTAATAATTTTTTATAAATAAAAATATAAAAAAATCGTCGCGAATAATTTTTTTCATAAATAAAAATATAAAAAATAATTGAATAAATACATTTGCGATGTGTAAAAAATCATCACGAAATAAATTGTTCCTACAATTTTCTGCAATGATTTTAATTTCGTCGCAAAAAAGTTCTTTTTTTAAAAAAATAATTCATAAAAAATGATATTCCAATAAAAATTTTCACCTATACACCAATAATACCTATGTGCAATAAAAAACTAACACAATTAATACATTTCACATCTTTTTTTAAAAAAATTAAAATTTATTTCCAAAAGAATGAATTACAAGAATCAAAAAATAAGAAGTTCTAAAAATAAAAAAAATGGCTTTAATCTTTCAAGAGGATTTAACCATCTCTAATTACATTTAATGTCTCCTCAACTTGAACAGTTCCAGTAGTTCAGCTCCATGTCTTGAAATACCATCTCAAAGCTCAATACATCAGTACCAGGATTTGAACCACAATGTTGGACATGAACCACTACATAAAACCATGGCACTATCTAGGATCTGTATAATCAAACTGACCACCACACACAACCTTCCTCCTCCTAGCAGGGCTCCTGGACAAACTAAGAGAAAATCAGTACGGTGGCCTTTGCAGTGCTAGCCAGTATCACAATTTCAGAACTGAGCAACTTACCTCAAGAGCCTTTCCAGCATTTGTTTCAGTGACTATCCCTATTGCTGCATTTGCAGCCAATATCATTAGGATGGACCTATTAACCAAAAATAAGTCTCTTCAGGAATCTCCTTAGAAAAAATCAAACAATTACTGAACATGAGGGAAAACGACATACACTATTAGTAAATACGTGCAAATGCTGTTAGAAACAAATAAGTGAAAAAGATATAAATGAGTCCATTGGGTTGATATTCCATGAAAAATTTAGTCAAGATAAGGGGATACTGAGGGTGGAGAAGTGCAAAGGAGGGACAACTTGAATGGGAGTGTAGAATTTGAAACGAATCCAATGCGGAAGAACAGGAAAGGGAACAAGTAGTACACCATAGCACACTCTTCGTTTCGCAAGAAAATTGAGGAAAAAAATTTCCAAGAAGTAAAACTCCAGTTGATTGTTTCATTTCAAATTCCATTTAAGTTTTAGAAAATAATTTTCTGTAAGGAAGGAAAATATAGGAAACATACCTTAAATAAATTGGGAAGTTGTTTTCCCTTGACTGAGACCGAAGGAGTTTATATGGGTAGAAGTTGTATAAAGCTTAAATTCTAACAAGTTCACAACATATCTCCCTCCCTCGCTCTCTCTCTAAGTGTGTTTGTCTGTCTGTGGGTCAGTTTGCTTTCAAGCAGATCTTTTGAATCTTAATGCTGAGTTTGGGTTGAAAACTAGACTTTCGTAGACTCAACAAGCTAAACAATATCTCCATCAACAATCAATAAGAAAATATTATTCATCCACCTTGTTATTGCAAAACTATGTCCTGCCAAACTCACAGGACTTCTGATGCTAAAAATTTGACAAAGTTTCAATTGCTCAAAATAAGAAACTAACAAAACCAAGTTGTGTACCTGTATGTATAAAGACTTCAGCTACTTCAAGATGACACGTATGTATTTGTCGACAAACACATATCAAGAAATTCAACCAACATCAATAGTTACATCAAGATACAGATAGGAGCCAACTCTCCTCCCCCTCAGGTGTTTGCATCCCTGCATTGATCAATTATAAGCAAACATGTCAGGAATCTAGTTTTCACGAAACCCATATCAAGGGTAACAGATTTTCAGCAGCCAAGTGCCAATAGATAGAGCACCATTTCTTCTCCATGGCTTCTTTTTCCCATGTTCTCCTCCATGCAATTGGTTTTCTTCTCCTCTTTGTTTCTCTTGGGCTAGGGGGTTGTGAATAGTTTATGATTTTGAGGAGAGAAACAAAACAATAATAGCTTGGCATGGTGGTGAAATGACAAGGAGAAGAATCACTCACAGCCCCTATCTTGAGGACAAAAAAGAGGGAGAAACAAAAAAGGGGGAGAAAAAAGACATGAAATGCTGAGGCATAAGGTGTATAAAATAGACTAAGAGACATCTCCTAAAGGAACATATAAAGAACCCAAAAAAAAAAAGAGGCAGCATGATGCACACAATTATAAGAGTAAGCACGCCAACGTTGAAATGCACCCAATAAAATCTAAACTGTAAAAAAGGCAATAAGAACACCCAATTCGTCTTGGCTGTAATTTAAATAAATTGAAATGCACAATTTATGCCCACATAGTGCACCAGCCAGCAGATATATGATAAACCTGTCAAACAACAAAGACACCAAGCATCCAATCGTATAAAAGCAAAGAAACTAACCCGTGTCAACAAATACCTTGTTTACGAATGGTATAATGACAGCTATATTTAGCGATCTAGATGCATAATTTCTCAAGTTCAGACTTCTTGGGTACAACAGAAAGTCTGATTATCCTGGAATATAAGCAAGTCAATGCAACCATAAAGAAAAAGAAAGCCAATGAATTGTAGGAGAAAATAAGAAATTGAAAAGGCCCAAAGATATGGATCTACGTACATTCATACAAAAGGAACCACAACATTCACTGAATAAAAATTGAGCTGTTAAGAGAGCATGTAAAACTCAGTCCCACATATCTCATTACAACCATATACAAATGGGTGTCATGACAGTAGAAGTATGCCAAGGATGTTAAGAGTTAGAATTTATGAATCATTTTGCAACTATAAGTTTTATAATAATACTCCCATAAAAAAAGACACCTTAGCCTAGCTAAAAGTGTATAACAATAAGCATTTAGTAACATCTCAAATTGCAGGGCGTCACTCTTGCTCTCAAGTTTCAATTCAGAAACACTTCTCCAATTTTTCATGTAAGCAAAGCACTGATGATTTGCATAGTCAATATGAACTACAACTCAGCTTTTAATTGTTGATGAAAAAGATCAATGGTTATTACCAACCGCTATCAATCCACTGCCTGTCTTTCCCCTGCCCTCTTTGTTATACGGTATAGCCTGTGAATAGAAAAAACTTAGACACAACATTGATGAAACAACCAAAAGAAGGAACAAGATAAACTCCTCGCCTGACTGGAAAATCTAATCCAATATCGGCGGCAAGACCTAACCGGAAAATCTTCTCGCCTGACTAGAGATCACGGTGGTCATCGTGGTGGTGGTGAGAATAGCCCAAGTGCCACCGCTTAGAAATCTTGAAATTAGGGTTTTCAGTATACGTCGGCGAATAGTCGTATAACTGAGGATTGAGAGCTCCGATTATAGGGCTCTGACGATGAGGAGAAAGAGGAGGATAAGGATTGAAGTTCTTGTTTGTGTATGATGAAATTCTTGATACAAAAGGAAGATTTGAAGTCCATCTGCAGTGGTGCCTCTTGGAGCTGCTCAGTCGCTGGAGTGGTCGCTGCTCAGTCGTTGGAGTGGTTGTTGCTCAGTCGCCGGAGTGGTCGCTGGAGAGCTGCCTCTCGTAGTTGTGGTCAGTCGCTTGGTGGTCTGGAATTTTTGTGGATCGATTTAGGGCAAAAGAATTATATTCTGCGACGAAACAAAAAAAACGTTGCAAACCAAAAAAACAAAAAAAAATTAGGGCAAAGGAATTTTTTAAAAAATTATATTTTGCGATGAAAACAAAAAATGTCGCCAAAAATATTATGACATGAATATTCCCCCACCAACTTAAAATGTTGGGAAAATTAATTAAATTTTTATTTTAAAATTTTTTTATTTACGTAAAAATTTATTGGCGATATTTTTCTAAAAAAATTGCAAAAAATTAATTTAATTATTATTTTTTAAATTTTTTATTTATGTAAAAATTTATTGGCAACGTTTTTCAAAAAACGTCGTGTAAAATTAATTTAATTATTTTTTTTTAAATTTTTTATTTGCATAAAACTTTATTAGTGACGTTTTGAAAACAACGTAGCGAAAAATTAATTTAATTATTATTTTTAAAATTTTTTATTTATGTAAAAATTTATTTGCTATGTTTTTAAAAAATGTCGTGAAAAATTAATTAAATTATTATTTTTATTTAATTTATCAATTTTCGTCATTTCTCCCCCCAAAAATAATTAGGAGGGAATCCCCTTTTTGCGACGTTTTTAATAAAACATCGCAAAAAAATTGTCAAAATAAAAATTTACGACAAAATTATAAAATCCTCAGGAGTACACTTTTTGTAACAAATTTAAAATTGTCGCAAAAAATATATTTTGTTGTAGTTAAAAAAAAAGAAAAAACGAATAAGGTCCGGTTACAATTGTTAACTCTTTACACGCACTTCAAACATTGATCCACAAGAAAGTGGCAATAAGGCCTCGTTTGATAATTTTTTTAGTTTTCAGTTTTTGATTTCACTTTTTTTGAAAATTACAAAAAACAATGTGTTTGATAACATTTTGATGCTGTTTTAGTTTTCCACTACTTTGAAAACGTTTCTAGTTTATAGTAAGTTTTCGAATTTTTTTTTTTTTTGAAAACAACAAAAATCAAAACTGGGGGAATGTTTAGGTGCAACATAATGAGATCTTGACAAAATGCATTTCGCCACTACCACCGCCACCTCCAATCACTACCTCCACTGCCATTATGATAACCCTCCACAACCACTTGGAGGAGCTGGTTGAGATGACCTTGAGCTGGAAAAGGGACCATGACCACAGCCACTTGGGGCTTTTTCAAGCCATCTGCGCCATGGTTTTTGTTTTCCTGGTGGTTGGCCATTTGTAAGCTAAGTCTGAGTTCTTTACGAGGGTTGGAAGTTCAGATGCATTTCATTGTTGAGGCAGGTCATCTGTAATATATAAGGATGGTGTTGATGATGATTTCAATGCGAATTTTTTTTTATTTTCTTGTTTTTTTTTTGTTCTATATAGGAAGGTTTTTGAACACTTCAAATAGACACTCCCCTCTAAAAACACTCTATAATATAAAAAATAATTATTTGTTTAATTACGTATTTAGAAATTAGAATAGATATACAGAAAGTGAGAGAAATGTAAGGAGAAAAAAGAGAGATAGACGCGGATTAGTGAGATCGTTTGACATTAAAGAGTGTATTAGTTGGTTCGTCTAACATTAGGAGTCGTGCACATGAGATGACGTTTTTTGTCGGCAAATATTTTTTTAGAATCAATTTTGTACCGTAGATAAAATTAGATGAAGATTAAGTTAATTTCAACCGTTATTATATTTTAATAAATGTGAAATTCAGATTGCTAGCTATAATATTCGATAGATGATACAAATTTGATGAGTATAATATTAGTGTATATTTAATGCGGAGAAATGCTGCTTTGGAAGCAACGGTGAATTGATATATAAAATTCTGTGAATAAGTTGATTCCAAAGAGCATTAACAAATGTAGCAGTTGAGCAGAATTTGGCCAATAGATTAAAAGTTTCGAGCAGGACAAATGAGCATAATTGGAATTTTATTTATGTGAAGCGAATGAGGATTATGATAGACAACCTGTGTGGTGTATGTCGTAGAGATGCCGAAAAAGGGATACATATTCTGCTGGAGTGCTATTGGATTTGAATCCTGCAAAATGGGTAAGAGGAATGTAGCAGTTGATAATGAAAAATGAGGAAGAATTTGTGTTATTTCTAGTGTGAAATTTGATGATGCACAACTTGATTTTATGCACTACTGTGTCGATTAATTAGTAATTAATGCAGTAATTAAGAAGAGAGAAAGAATTAACACTAACAAGATAAAGATGTAGAATAGTTCGGTCAACGTGACCTACTTCATATGAAGGGCCAAGATGACCTGGTGTTTTATTACTTCAAGGAGTGTAAAGAGATCCGGGGAGAGCAAAGGAGGTACAAGTTATGAGAGAAGTGAGAGTGATACAAGATGTGCTCGATATCCCTATGTATTGGCGGAACTTATAAATTATAGTGTCTTCTAACAGACTGATGTGATTTTTCAATAACTAAGTAACTTATTTGGTAGAAATGGCGTCATCCTCTCAACGACTGAGGCGGTTATGGAGTTCCTTTGAGATCAGGTTAAAGGATGACGTGATTGACTTCTTCTAAGTCAACGTGAACGAGGCTCTTGAGATAGCGATGCCTACTCTTTGATAGCATAATTTCTGGAATCCTGATGAGCCTGACCGAGTATGGGCCTCTTTTGGGTTAGACCCATTAGATTTATATAATTGGATTATAACTTGAGTTGGGCCCTTTTACCTGACCCATCAGAGTTAGATGATTTGGTGGCGTTGAAATGAAATGGTTTAGGTAGGATGGTCAAAAAAATCAACCGTAATCACTCGGGCTACGTTGTAATACATCAAGCAAATCCAGTAATTTGTAGAGCTCATGCCTTCCGTTGCTCAGTCAGTTGGTGCTTCCCGTCAGAATTCACCCAATGCAGGTAAGTTCAAGGCGAATTTTTGAAGATGTCTTGATAGTAGGCCAAAAAATTGGAGCGGGAGTAGTTACACAAGAGGAGACGAGAGTTTTTGTGGCTGACTTATCCAGGAAGATTGAAACTAGGGGGTTCATGCCTAGAAGTAGGAATGATTGTGTTGAGGGAGGCCATCAAATTCGCCTACCAACAAGGCGTCAATGAGGCTGTTTTTGAAGGACAGACAATAAAAATCTTCAAGCTGTTGAAAGAGGATTGTGATTTAGCTGTTGCGAGCTCCTCGCTTTTCGCTAGATCTGTGCCCTCTAGCTGTAGAATTTTTTTGGCCTATCGAAAGGTTCAAATTGGCCCTTTCTTTGATAGTCGACAAATTTAACTTATACCAAATTCCATAGAATTGGGTTGATCGCTTGGAATCAAAACAAAAGATGACTTTTGAACTCGTTGAAGATCCTTGTGGCTCCGGATCCCTCCAATCCAGCTGGTCGTTGGGATGAGCCTGCAATCCCTCAATCCTGGGACCAGTTCTAGTAGAGACAAGACATGAGTTACAAAAGTTTAGATCCGTAAATTTGAGTATAGTAGCAAGAATTGGCAATAGGGTGGCACATAGCCAAGTTCAACAAGTTAGTTTTGTAGAAGATTTTATTATATAGTAAGAGCGTGCATCTGAGTTTGTAATGTCGCTCTTAATCTAAGAGATTTTAGTCTGAATAAAACATCTTAGAGTCTATTCAAACCAAAAAAAAAGATTAATTACAAAATATCCCTTTCAAGTTTGGATCATGTTATAATTAACTCTTTGTTTTAATTTTAACAGTTTATCCTCTTCACAGATTTGAATTGTAGAAACAGTTTCTCTATTTATAATTGTAGTGGTAAGACTGCGTATATCTAACTCTCTTCAAATCCTATAATAACGAGAATCTTGTGCATCGACTACACTTTTTTTTTTTCTTTAGAGAGAATTATAGATTTTTCTCTAAACAATGTGACGTGGGTCATGGCCCCTCGTCCTGCATGTGGTTCCATCCTTGATGGACAGCCTCTATGTCCGGGCTCTCACCCAGGGTGTTCTACTGACTGTTACTTCCTCCCAGCCACCGGGGCATGACACACGGCCCGACACACGGTTGATTATACTGGACTTACCTTTTAATGGGTCGTAATTTAGATATACTAATTCAAATTATCGGATTTAACGATGTAAAATTCCAAGGGATGAGTTTGGGCACTAAATTACTCTTTTTATACATGAACAATAACAGTCTCCGTCCAGATTGTTGAAAAAAAATCATGAAATAAAGGGTTAGAAGAGATTACCTTAAGGTCACTATATGTCCCAATTATATGAGAGCCATTCTAAATGGGCTTGCTAATAAATTGAGTTCTAATTAAAGCGATTTTGAATTTAATTTGAAAATTCTAATCCAAACATCTGAAAAATTACTTTTTCATAGTCAACTTCCAAAATCAGTGAAAAATCAAAAATCCAATCCGAGTTGAATGATTCAATTAGTGTTGAATTTTAGGAAACCAAGTCTAAAATTCAATTTACTATTATCATGGGCTCTTCTGGTGTCTTTAGGGTGTCTCTCCTCTGATTTTTTCTGCTATGTTTTGCGATGGTTACATGGACTTGCAACAACTTATGTATCACTCATAGTTGAGTCATCACAAAATATGCCTATATGAGGTTTTTTAGAGAGAAAGTTATACAATTAGATAGTGTTAAGCATCAAAATAATAAACCCTATTATGTGATGATGGTATTTAAGTAGTTAATATCAAAAAATTTCAAACTCAAATCTCACAAAAATGGTGAATTCAATACACATAATTTATTGGTGATTACATGTATTACGTATTTATATATTAATTGCAACTAATTCAATTATCACATGATTGAAACACTTTATAATTATGGAAAAAATACTAAATAAGTTGGAAAGGGCAGTCATTACAATTGATGATATGCTAAGTTTGGACTTAATATTAGGTATAATGGTAACACTATATTATAAATGTCACGTAATGTCACTAATCAACTATAAAATAATAAGCAGGATCAGTGAACCCCACCTTTTTTACACGATAAAGGTAGTTATTGCAATAATTAACATTAAGTCAATAAAATTTTATCAATAATTAATGACTATAAATAATTAAATAAGCAAAGTAAGTTAATAAATTTTGCCCTAGTAACATTGGTCTTTATAAAAACAAATAAACCAAATGCGACCTAGAAAGTGATGTAGTTTCCAAAAAAGTTGCCCAAAAATTTACTAAATAAAAGTTGAAGGTTAGATCAATAGTTCCTAACGCAAAAAAAAAAATCTCACTCAACATTTTAGATAGGAGAATAGATTTTTTACAAGTAGCTTGTAAACCAATTATTTACCTGCAGTCAATCAAAATTTAATAGTCACATAACACACAAACCAATGTTAAGGATTTGTGTAACTGTCAAATTTTGATTGGTTGTCTGTAAATAATTAATTTATAGTCTGCCTATAAAAAATTTATTTTCTCTCGATAGTCTAACTACTATCACATCCCAACATGTGATTAAGGTTGCAAGAATCGATTAAGTTTTGATAAGAAAAAAACAAAAGTAAAAATGAAAAAAAATATTAATATAGAAACAAACGCTATTTGAAAAAAGTTCTTAAAACGAGCAAAAAGAGTGAGGTAAGTAATTTGAAAAAATAGTACCATATCTTACCTTAATAATTCGCAATTTTGGGCCAACGAAATTCAATTTTAGAAATTAAAGATTTTTTTTTTTGAAAAACGAATGAAGGTGGATGAGCTAAAATCAAATCGAATTCGAGCTTCTTAATTCATTTGGCATCCCTTATCCTACTACCATAGAAAACTCATCTTCTTGTCTATTAATTTGTTTCATATATTAATAATCAAACTTGGGATGCAATCTAAATAAATTTTCGACGGTCAATACATAGGAAATAATCAAATGCAATAATCTAATCGTTGATTAAACGGAACTAAAACGGAATCTTCCTGTGTCACTGCCGTTCGCACATAATTCCACAAATGGTCAAGTCAAATACACAACCCCATTGTTGTCGGCCAACATTGTCAATTGTTTTCTATTAACCCTGTTGCTACTTTTCAATGTGTGGATACCACGGCTCGACTTCTTGCTCCTATATACTTTTTATATGAAGGGAAACCTCATAGTCTTTTTTACTTTAATGATGTTTTATATTTATTTATCTTTTGATAAGATCAAAGAGAAAACAAATATGTAATGTATCGCATGCCATGAAACACTAATATATTATTATTTAATATCAGTTGATTGTACCTAAAATAAATCTCAAGTGCCAGTTCAGAAGGTCAGCTTAGACCAGGGGGTCAAACACGTTAAATAGTGATCAGAAGGCAAGGACTGAATATCTTTTGAGACAAGGCAATAGCGGAGATAACCAACAAACAGCTAGATAACAACCAGGATCCCCGAAGCAACAGGAAACTACAATCAAGACACCAAATCCTAACTAACCAAGATCTGCTTCTAAAATCAAGGAGAATCCCATAAGGGAAGGGCAAGGGTCTCGGCTAAGACTCAACTGAACAGGGAATAGCCCTACATATACTATGTAACACCTCCAAAAAAGGAGAGAGAACCCTAAAGGCACGAAAGAGCCATTGTAACCTTGTAACCACCATTATTGAAAGTAAAGGAGCAAGAGTTTTCATTGAAGAGTGGATTAGCCGAGCTCTCGAGCTGGTGAACCACTATAATTCATTTGTGTTAGCCCCCCTTAATCCCTTAGATTCTCGCATCATCATCATAAGACATATTTTCCGTCCATTGCTCATATAAGTTGATCCACACCATTAGTTTGGCGTCGTCTGTGGGAACGACTGTTCCTATTACAAAAAAAGCTGATTTTCAGCTGCTGTCACATCCTAATATGTTATTAAGGTTGCAAGAATTGAGTAAGTTTTGAGAAGAAAAAACAAAAGCAAAAATGAAAAAAATGTTAATACAAAAACAAATGCTATTCGAAAAAGTTCTTAAAACGAGCAAAAAGACTAATAAAAGTAATTTGAAAAAATGTTACCATATGATACCTTAATAATTCAAAATTTTGGCAATGAAATTCAATTTTAGAAACAAACGATTTATTTTTTTGTCAAAAAACGAATGAAAATAGATGAGCTAAAATCAAATGGAGGTCGAGCGGCTCAATTCATTTAACATCCCTTATCCTATTACTATAGTACAATCAATATCTGATAATGGTGAGTTTATGTTTGGACCTCCCTATAGCTCAAAACCCTATGGGCTAGCAGAAGGCGGCTCTATTAATTCATCCTAAAAATATTCATTGGGCTCAAATTGGGCTACGACCTAGTTCCAGAGAGATTCGATGCTAACGAGCTCAGTATATTTATCAACTCGGGATATGGACGCAAGGCATCAGGACAATTTGCAAAAGTTATAGCATGACACGTGGATAAGGGATGAGAGAATTATTACTTGACGATTCTGATGAACAAAAATTCACAAGTAATTAATACGGATCACGTATTGCAATCGGCGAGTAGTAAATGCAAGAAGGTGTTGAGGGCCACATTTTGAGGACAAACACAAAGGGACCACAGTATCAGCAAAAACAAATCAACACAAAACCCGAACTAGCTGTTGTTGCCAACAGTGCAATATTGCACGAGAGAGCCTTTTAGAGAACTACTAAAAAAAAACCTATGCAATATTTCTATAAGAGACTTCAAGTCAAATATACTATAACTACAATCTTCTTCTCTAAGCAATATAATTTTTAAAAAGTAAGAACATTCTTTATAGTAGAAGTAATCTTAATCTTTTGGTGAAGGCGAACCATTCATATTATTATTTTCTCTTTGCATCATATATCTAGCGTACACACTCACACTCTCATTCACACGCACACACTCGTAGGGCTATATTCAAAATTGTTCTCCAGTCAATTTTGAACACCATCGACATCAAACTTGGGATGCAATCTAAATAAATTTCAACGGTCAATGAATCGGAAATAATCAAATGCAATAATCTAATCCTTGACCAAACGGAATCCTGCTATGTCACTGTCCTTCGCACATAGTTCCACAATTGGTCAAATTAAAGACGCTACCGACTGTTGTCGGCCAACGTTTTTAATTGTTTTTAAAATTTAGACCAGGTCAAGACCATTAGTTTCCTCAGAAGCCATCCCCTTCCCCCACGCCCAACCCCAACACCAACCCCCCCCCCCCCCCCCCACACACACACAAAATACCTATTACACTGTTCTAATTTTACTAATTTGTTAATCAAAAATCGTCTCAATCATTTACTGATCGAATTAGTGACCATACTTTAAATTTGAAGTATACACAATTATCTATAGAACACCTATATCAATTCCATTTGGTCAATTCTTAGGGATGGCCTATTGATTGTACTTATCTTTTGTTAATCCAAAGGTCTCAAATTCAATTCTTTTTCACACATATTAAGAGTTAGCCACATTTGT